GAAAAATTCTTTAGCTAACACTGTGTTGACCGTGAACCGGAAGTGCTGGGAGTGGCATAAAGTGCTGGGCCGGATGTCCGTGGCATATAGGCTATTGAGTAAACTCTGCAGTAGGTTTTGTCCTGTGGGACAAAATAAATTCCAAATAAATGCGACATCGGCCTGCCATAAAGTGAGCTTCTGCCCGCTGCTGCTGCGCTCAGCAGAGACCGACCGTAACAAGATGATTTATGACTGATCGAACGTCCCCATCTTTTTATCATCTCTGTGGGCAACAATACATAAAAAGAGAAGTTTTTTCTCCGACAACTTGGGTGTGAAAAGCTCTGCGCGACATGCATCGGGAGGGTGAAGGAAATGATCCCGTGACACGACAGCACGATGTAACCTTTCTACAGCGGGAGGGGGAAATTTGAGGATTTTTTTCTCTGTGTACGTGTTTTAAAAAGCTATATTTCTTCATTTATTTTCAGAATATTTTGAATAAATGGCCCTATAAAAAACTAAAGAAATAGTTTACCTGCCCGAATATGGGTTTTACCTGCCCCGGGCAGTCGGGCAATAGGATTTGTCGAACCCTGCTCGCGGGAACCTGGTCGCACGCGGGGTCTGTGTTGGTGGTTCTTGCTGTAATCTATAAAAGTAATTATTGATAAGGTAACCATGCTGTGGTTTCACCTGTTGCATTTTCTTTTAAAGACAGAAAAAGTAGCTTGCAAAGCTATCACATCGGTGCAACGTGATTAAAAAAAGAGTTTTCATCACGCGTCTAATCACACACACGTCTTTCTATCTTTGTGAGGACCTCACACAGCAGTCAGCCTTGCGCCGCGTCATCCCCCCCAAGTTTGGTGAGAGGTGGATATGGAGGGATGCAAAAAATAGCTCTCGACTTGATTTGGCTTTATTTAAATAAAAAGGACTACATGCTGTGAAATTCTTGAAGGTGCGGGCTGTCTCGTAGGTGGGGGGCCCGCCCCCCTTGTATAATGGTAGGGGAAACTGCTAAAGTTACTGGATCGATAGGTTTATTACCACCACATCACTCCTGTTTGAAAAACACATGCTGCGCCAGAGTAGCTGGTCATTGGCAGGTTCAATGTGAAAACTAGATGAAACAGCATTTCAGATTATTATTATATCAGCTTTGATTGTACAACAACTTCAGAATCGATCCACACATGCTAACATGTAGCATCCATATTTACTTCTGTAAACAGCAAGCTGAATGTGACGTCACATCATCTTCTGCACAKGCGGGTTATATCAGTGTCGTGAAGAGTTCATGCTGTAGTCTAATTGAGGTCTCATTTAAAATATAATATGAAAGATCACACAAAAAAATCCGATTTGAGCAGAAAATCAAAATTGTGCATTAGGATCTGCAGTGTGAACAAAGCCTTAGCAATCAATGAAAACAATCCCCACCACCTCTGTGTATAAATGAACAGGAGGTGGAGAGGGTCAGTGACATCAAATTCCTAGGTCTCACCATCACCAGATATCTTAAATGGACCACCCAACTGGTGAGGCAAATGCAGCAGAGACTTTTCTTTCTGTATAAGGTTAGTAAGTTCAAGCTCCCCTCACAGCTCCTCATCAATAGGAGTATAGAAAGTGCTCTCTAACACAGTCTGGTTCTCCAGCTGAAAACAGAAGAGACTTAAGCCTCTTCTCCATTGTCAAGTCTCACTCTAACCACTTTATGTCTGTTTGGTTCTACTCAAGTGTATGTGCAACAAAGTGTCCCTCACTCTATGGGCACAACTGTGGGTAAATCGCACGCAGGGAGCTTTGCCCCTTGTTGCCTAAGGCTACATTCACACTGCAGGCAAATGCGACTCAAATCCAATTTTTTTTGCCCAATCTGACCCATATCAGATTTTTTTATGGCAGTCTGAACGCGACAAATCAGATTTTTTCAAATCCGACCCAGGCCATTTCAGTATGTGGTTTTAAATCAGATACATATCTGATGTTTTCAAAGCGACTGCAGTGTGAACGCTCATGTCACATTCCATCCGACTTTTTCATCAGTGAGGTGGGGGTGAAGCATCGATAAGACACTAACCTGCAACTCCATGTGTTTACAGCTCCAAAACACCAGTCCACTTGCTTCATATTTTTACTTTTGATTTTCCATGTAGATAGTATGATAATAACGATGTCCAGCCTCGGTCGCRGAGCTTATCTATCCTAAAGTTACTCAGTTGATACTTTATTTCCAGCTCGTTGTTTCGTTCAAAAAATAAAAAGCTTCACTGGAGCATCCCGGTCAGACGCAGGTTCAGATATAAACACTGAACTAAAAAAGCACGTCAGATAATTACTTAATCGGCTCTGATTAAACAACAACTTCCGATTTGATGTGCAAAAAGTAGCATCCATGCTAGCTCTGTAAACAAACAAGCCAGCTGAATGAGAATTCACGTCTTTTACTGCGCATGCGTGTCACGTCAGCGCTGTGGAACGTTCACACAGGGGTCTGATGCAGGTCACATTTAAAATGTAATGTGAACGTTCACACAAAAAGATAGGATTTAAAAAAAAAATCAGAAATGAGCATCAAGACTTGCAGTGTGAACGTAGCCTAATAAGTTTGGATTATACTTCAATACGACGTGAGACAGCGGGCCGGTGACAGCGATTTTTCATGACTTAGTATAAACTGGCTGAAGACACAGTGGACCATAAATTATCGTAATTCCTCCCTCTGCCCACAGCTCATATAAGTTTATAAACAACAATAATGATGATGGCTGGATACTGTTTTTTTATTTTCACTCAACAGTCAGTGTTGTGTTGTGTTTTCGCAGTGGAATTTTTTTTTTTTTTTGTGAACGGTGGTGATGGAAAAAAGATGTGAACATCAGCTACATCCTTTCATTCAATAGGACCAAACCAGCTTCTCCTCTAGCTCTTTTAATAACACGCTTCAAACAAAAAAAATCATTTTAAACAAAATAACACGCAGAAGAAAGAGCTGCTCGGAGCAATGCAGCAGCAGCAATGAAGAGCTGGACCGCTGTGCTTCTCCTCATAAACAAATACATCCACAAAGTTCTAACCAATCACACTCTCCGAGCCACTAGGGCTGTGTATTGGCAAGAATTTGGCGATACGATACATATCATGACAGAGGGGTCACGATACGATATATCCCGATAAATTGCGATACTATAAGCAAGGCGATATATTGCGATATATTGCGATTTTTTTGTCCAAAATTTCTATTAAATAAAAACCTCTTACAGGGAAAAAAAGGAAAAACCAAAATTCATTCTCAGAAAATTCTAATATTACAGACATACTTTTGATACATTTAGCTGTGTTCTGCTTTGTATGTATTTTATTTTATTTGTTTCATATTTCTTATTTCATCCATGTTTTCAATTATTAGACTAAATTTGCCAATAAATAGTTTGAAAATATATTTTTTGCAGCTTTTAGTTTTTAATATTAATTTACAATATGGTCACCCAGCACTTAACAATAGCCTCTACCTCAAGAGGTAGAGGATACAAATGGCTGGCTCACTGCTGCCGACTAGTGGTCAGAGGCTGAACTACAACATAAAAATGAATGGCTAGCAGGAAAGTTGACATTTTAAACCTTAATAAAAAAATTGATACAGGGCTTTAGAATATTGATACAGTATCGGGAAATGAAATATCGCGATATTTCAGTGTATCGATATTTTCTTACACCCCTACGAGCCACAAGGTCCACATCGCAGAGTTCTGACAGGGAGCAATGTACACGACAGCTGTCACCGGGGGAGAGCAGAGGGAGAGCAGAAATTTAGATACAAAGCGCATAAAACCACATCTGTGGAGATTAAAATTTCGCCCACTTTATAAAGATCACATAGTGGATTGTTGGAGCACAACTTTCCAGCCTGGACTTGGTCTATGCAAGCCAAAGAAAAAAGTTGGCATAATTTTTTAAGACCCCACTCATTCAGGACGCACTGCATTTGTCTGTTTGGACCTTTAAATTCTCAAACTCCCTATGCCCCAAATCTTCCATGAAGTCACCACTTGCCCCAACAGGACATTGTAGGTGAATGGTTTAAATCTGTGGATATGTGTAAAACATAAACAAACAAAAAAATGAATGAATAAATGAATACCCTACATAGACAATACATTTAATGTTCAAAGAGATAAACTGTTTAAGTTTTTGCAAATATTCAATCATTTTGAATTTGAAGCCTGCAACACATTCCACAAAAGCTTGGACAGGAGAATGTTTACCACCGTGTTACATCACCTTTCCTTTTAACACTCCAATTTTTGGGAAATGAGGACACAAAATGCGGAAACTTTGTAGGTGGAATTCTTTGCTAGTCTTGCCTGATGTGCAACTTCAGTTGCTCAAGTGTCCAGGGTCTCCATTGTCATATTTTGCACTTCAAAATGCACTTTACATTTTCAATGGGAGACATGTCTTGGCTGTAGGTAGGTCAGTCTAGCACCTGCACTCTTTTTCTTTAGAATGCAAAAAGGCCAATGAGCCCAGAATCTGATTCTTTCAGTTATTAAATAGAACCTCCCACCCTCCTTATCAAACCCCCACCTCTGTATGCCAATGAAAGTTCTGTTACTTCCAGATGGGAAGCGGCGATTGTTGCAACAGGATAAATGGCTGGCTGGCTGGGTAGATGGGACAGATTTTATCTGGGGGTTAAAAATCACAAACAACAGCAAAACCAATTTGCCTAAACTGTTTTCTTTTAATTTAATATGTACCTTGATCTCATAAAACTTAATGTTTCTTACTCTTGCCACAAGTCCAATAGAGTTAAAAAATCACAGTAAAGTGTATCCTTCTAGAGTTAAATAATTGTAATGAACAGGGAGTAAAAAAATCAACATCAGAAAATGAACCCAAACAGCCAGAGCTTTGGAATAATTCCAATGGAGAAAATTAGATTTGATCTCTCCATCTCATTAAGGATTTACTGATGAGTGAAGAAACAAAACAATAAAAAGTCTTACCTGTACAGCTCTCTGGTCTTTGCCCAGCTCAGTAACATCTGTGTCAATCTCTTTGGTCACATATTTGAATGGATCACCCACGTAGCCAGACAAGTTGATGATGCCCTTCTTTAGGCCTGACTGCTGGTTCTTGCTACAACCAGGTCCTTCATCTAGGTCATTCTGGATGTTGGAGTCTGTCTTTTCATTTCCACAGCTGTTGTTGGCTTTGGTGGTTTGATTGCCACTGTTAATCTCTGGGGTCATATTTGCATTGACCCTGTTAAAACCTCCGTTAGTATGTGAAAGTTTCTGGCAGGCTGGACCTGGAGTAAAATCATTTTCAAATGAAGGGACCTCCAGATTTCTACTTGCACATGATGTGGGGGTCTTTGAGAGGATACTTTCCCTAGTGGGACTACTAAGGTTACCTTTTCCAAATGCAGGACCTCTCAGATTGGCATTTTTCCACATAGCTTTACAGTTTTCACCAGTAACTTGGAGACTGTTGGCAGTGGAACCTGAACCCTCTAGATTACCATTTCCACAAGTTGAACAACTGAAAAATCCTGGGTCATTAGTTGACATCCTTAAATTAAGATTTCTGAAACATGGTCCATCAGCACTTCTGTTTGGACTGTTACATGTCGGGTCTCTGGGGTCGATGCTGGCAGATAACGGAAGAGGTATGGACTTCACAACTCCTCCAACTAGAACTTTAGGATTAAAACTCCCGCAGGGTGAGTCCTGAGGGCTGAAATCTGTACATGCTACTGCCTTACTGCTCCGTAATGGATATTCTGAAGGTGGACTGGCCCCATAAGATGGACTCTTCGGACTTGAGACTGTATACTTCACTCCTATATTGTTGTTAACGTCACTGGAACTACTTTCAAGGCCAGTGAGCACTAATGAGCTCCTCATTTTAGAAGGGCTTTGATGAGGTTTGGCATGTTCAGTGGCTGAAGTGTCTTGTTTAATTTCAACAGCACCATTTCCACCACAAGTCAAGTCACCAGAGGTTCTTATTCTATAGTTTCTGGTAAATTGCCATGGAGAAGTTCGGGCACATTGCATTGTCTGCTCCTCTGGGATGTTTGAGAATGGACCCAGAGGGTCCTCTGAGACCTCTTCCTTTGTAAGAGAAACATGGGTCTGTGAACTCAGTGTCTGTTCTGCACTTTGGCTCAGGCAAAGGGTTTTTGGAGGCCACAGGCCTTTGTTTTGGTTACTTCCATTGATGCCTTGCAAACCTTCTATAGGAGAACAGAGATTATTGCAAATATCTTCATCTTCATCGTCTTCATCACGAACTAGGTCGATGCAGATTATATTTTCTCGAACAACAGGACTGTTTTTATCTGATACATTTAATGTTCGGTTTAAGAGTTTATCTCTGCCATCGGAGTGGTTAACATCATCCTCTTCCTGGCTCCTGAAAGGTTCCTGGTTTTTAGACCCGCTCTCTTGTTGTGTGCTTTTAAGACTAGGAAAAGCTGACACTGACGTTACAGTCATTTTGTCAGAACTTTGATATGGATGTCCTCCATACAAGAAGCCATGTTTTGCTGTGATGTGTGATGGGTAAAATTTGCTATGGCCAAGTAACAGTGAATGTGGATACATGGGACCCTTACTTGGTATTGATATTTGCTGAACACACATATTCTGTGCAGCTGAGTAAGGGATGTAATGGTTACTGTAACCTAAACCAGGAGGGAGGTAAGAGCCTCCATAGATTTGTCTGGAGGKGTTTTCTATACAAGACTGTTGAGACTCTGGAGAACAAGATCGGTTCTCTGGTGCTTCAGGTTTAGAAGGAGTTTTACTCGGTTTTCCAGAAGAAGCTTCCTCTTTGCTGCTTGATTTTCCAGACTCAGCAGGACAAATCTGGGGCTGTTCAATTTTTGATTTTGGTAGATTTGCTGAAAGTTGTCCACTTGAGGTAGGACTGCAGATATTGGTTGACTGACCTATTGCAGATCCATTTGAGCCTTGGGGCTTCTGCTGACAATGARTACTGTCTACTTTACTTCTAGTTGCAGTTTGCAAGAAAATGTTATGATTTGATGTAATTGGACATAAAGCTACCCCCACAGAAGGTGCAGTGCAGATTGTGTCATTATTTGAAATCTTGGCTGATACGTTAAAGGGTGCAGATCGTCCCTCTTTGAGGTGCTTGTCTTGATTGAGTAACAGCTTGTAATCAGATGGTGGTAAATACCCCAACTTGGTCAGTGCCTCAACTTTGGATGGGAATTCATTAAACTCTTTGGCAGAGTCTGTTTTCTCTGCTGCATTTTTGGTCCCCTTCTGAGGTAAGTTTCTGTCCGGTGAAGTATTTAAAGAAGCTTCTGCATTACGACTGTCTGAACTGGCATCTTTGGTTTTGTTGCTGCCTGAGTGCATGGAAGAGCTGTGCTGAGAGTTCATGTAGAAGGGATGAGACACTGAAGGTGAGACTGAAGATGAGGTGACACTCTTGTAAAGAGGTTTCTGAAGGTCTACAGGGTTACTGCTGGGGGACTGCAGTGGGGGAACTGAGCATGGAGGCTGGGAAGTTGAAGCAGAGTTGACATGAGCACCACTGCTGAGAGTATTCTTGCTAGAACTTTGGTGACATGTCTTTTCTCCACTGCTGCCAACACGTTGTTGCTCAGTATGGTTTCCAGCCCGGGGTTCTTGGTGAATCTTAGTATTGGAACTGAAGGTGGAATTTTCTTGATGTAATTGCGGTCCATRGCCTTGCAAAGCCTGGTCCTGGCTGTGGGGCAGGGGTGAAAGGACAGCAGGAGTGGGATTGGCTGAGGACATCCTGATCTGAGGACCCAGTGAGGAGGCAATATGGGCTGGAGCGTAAGGAGGAAGATAAAACAGTCTTTCGTTACATGRTACAGGACTTCCAGTGGCACACAAAGATTGATATAACAACTGCTGCTGCTGGATGAAGGACGATGGCTGTGACAAGAAGGAGGCCTTGTATGCCATGTCCAGGAAGGGGTACATTGTAGCATCTCCATAAGGACTGATCCAGGGCACTCTTACAAAATTACTAGTGCCATTCAAGCCCAGTTCTGACTGTTTGTCAACTGATACAATGTGACTGTTCAATCCTAGACCATTACCATCAGCAGCAGGAATAAGCAGAGGTTTCTGCATGCCTGGAGGTAGATTTTTAAAAAGTTCAACACAACCATTTACAGTTTTCTGGCCTTCCAGAAGGGATCCATCGGGTTTGTACAGGAGGTCATAACCAAGTCGGACTGCAGTGTCAGGTTCTTGGGGTTTTTGTGCAGACAGAGGATGGATGCCGGGGTAGAAGATACCCCCAGGGAAGCGGAGATTTTCTCCTACCAAAGAGTTTTGATCGATGCTGAAAGCTGCTAGTGGATTCATTCTGTGAGTTGGGCTGGCATCCACCTGGAACATGAAAAGTCAAAATAAKTTTTGCAGTCTTACAACCAATAAAGGATTGTTTATCAACCAGATAAATTCTCAGTTATTCTCTTTGGCTTAAACCTAGTAAAAAGGTCCAAATAAAAACTCTAACAAACTCTAAAAAAATGTTGGCCAAGAYAATTCATTGCAGAATGGGACCCAATTTGGTGGAAAAGGGTTTTATGTCCGATGACCCTAAAGCCATAATAATTCTGATTAATTTCACTTATTTTTAAAAATTATCTTAACAAACAATGGTTTAATTGGTGGAGGAAATTATGAAAGTTCACTTCAGCTGTGGTAAAAATTCGAAGCAGGAATAAGTGGTTGGTGCTGTAATGTAGTACAATTCATTAAGGTTACCAAACTAAAGAAGTGAAGATGACTTATTATTACTTACTATTTATATAAACAACAATTGCTGTTGACCAAAAAMAGTAATGTGCTAGTATTTATGTTGACTTGAAGAAAGCTTTTGACACCACTGACCACAGTATTCTTCTTGAAATATTGAACAATCATGGCATTAGAGGACCAGCACTGCAGTGGGTATCTAGCTATTTAAAGGATAGGAAACAATTTGTACAAACATAAATAATATAAGATCTGAATTGGGTACTATCACATGTGGAGTGCTTCAGGGTTCTGTACTTGGACAAAAGTTATTTATTTTATGCATAAATGTTTTGTGTTATTGTGTCAGGGTTGTTTAAACGTGTTTTATTTGCAGATGACGCTACAATCTTTTGTTTTGGTAATAATATAGAACAGATGTTGGAGATGATGCAGACAGAAATTGTTAAAATACAAACTTGGTTTAAACTCAAATTATTGTTAAATTTAGATAAGACTAATTACATGACATTCTGTAATAGAAAGAGAAATATTGATGTTCCGTTTAGAGTCGATGGTGTTGAGATCTGTAGAGTCAGTGAGGTAAAGTTTTTGGATGTCATCACTGATGAAAAGCTGATATAGAAATCTCACATAAATCATTTAAGAACAAAAATAGCCAAATCCATTGCAGTATTGAACAAAGTATCTTGTATAATGCAATAATTGTTCGACACTTAATCGACTGCATTGATGTTTGGGGAAAAGCATGCAAAATAATTACAAATCCTATTTTTGTTTTATAAAAAAGAGCCGTAAGAATTAGTTCAAGGAAGCTAAAGGAAAAAAATTTGTATAGGTCCTCTGGACGGGTTCTTCTTTAATGAAACGTTTCGTCTCTCTTCCAAGAGACTTCTTCAGTCTGAGAG